TGCATGGATAAGCGCTGTTGATGTTTTATAGGAAGAGTGGGTGCCTTTCAGCTTCATTTTTTGTTTATAGTGACATTTAGAGGTTTGTTTTTTGTTTTATTTTTATAAATAATGAAACCCCTCACTTGTTTTGCTCTGCACAAATCCCCCAGTTTTCTCAAACCTATCTCAGGAAACAAGATTCAGTAGGCCAATGTGTTGCTAATTAAATGAATAATGCAGACTCTTTGCAGATGTAATTCAGAGCAAGTGAGGAACAAATGTGGTCATCGTAACAGGATTTTTTTCCAAATATTTTCAGAATAATGGGGCTTTCTAATGTAAGCTTCCCCTCTAATGTTTTGAAATAAGTATTTCAAGTAATACTTTTGTATGTGGGGAAGCAAACTGGTTTGTCTTGTGTTCACTGGGAAGAATTGAGAGGTACAGGTCTGGTGACTGGAGCTGCAGTAACTCTGCAAAGTTAGTGCAGTGAAGGAGGAATCGTGGAGGATGCAGAAGCTTTTGTTGATCTATATGTAGAATTTTACCTGTTTGAAGGCAAGATTATATGTGAGTGGTGATGAATACCTTTCTACTTCTAATAATACGCTAATTATAAAATTTCCAGTTCTGTTTTTTTCTATAAAACTCCTCATTCTGTGTGATGCCTGAATGAAGACCTGTAAAAACAGGGCAGAATGAACCAGCTTTACATCTTCTTCTGTTTTTTCCATGTAGTTAGGCATTTTTGCTGACCTTTTATCTAGCTACTTTCAGCTAAAACCTGTAGGTCCACCAAACTTAATATCTGGAGGGAGATGTTTCTCATCTTCGACAATACTGGGATTTCTTTGTTCTGCTCTAATTATCAGAGGAAAAATGTGCAATAGTAAAGCCTTTTACAAGCCCACAGAAGCCCTTTGGATATTCTCCCGAGGTAATAGGGTACTGTCCCAGATAGTCATGGGATCCATAGCAGCTATTTAAATCAGAAAGCACATTGCGCTGTGTTACCTTGCAGGCGGTTTGGTGTCAGGGCATTGGGTCTCTTAGCCTGCACCTCTGGAAAAGTGAGTTTCTTACCTGCCAGCTTGTCTGACCTTAACTTTGTTCTCCTTTTGTCTTTTTTTCTTTAAATATAGATGTTTTGGTTATTTTTATACTGATCAAAATGTGGACTTACTCAAATCGAAAAAACCAATTATTTGGAAAGTATTGACTCTGTTTACCTGAGTGTCTGAGTTTAGTTTATGTCTTAATGACAGTTAATATTCAAAATGTTCAGTTACTTCTAGGAGTTTAGCAGTACTGAACAGCGAAATGTTTCAAGGATGAAAAATCTCCGTCAGAATAGTGGTACTGGCTTCCTTTCACCTGTTAGAGATATGTGCTTTATAATGTTCAATACTAAATTAAATTTGTGCGTTCATAGATATTTAGTATGTAATGACTTGAAGGTTAAAATAGTTCTGTTCTATATGTTTGTGCATAAATATTTAATTATTAAGTGACTAAAAGGGGTCACAGCTGACTGCGAAAGCAGAATTTTGTAGTTGGTTACCATGAAGGTGGAAAACAGATATTAATTGCAACATTAATTGCAATTTTTCTTTTTTGCCTAATGTGAGAGACAGTGGCAACTTTGAGTTACTGAAATGTGGCCAGTGACTGTAGGTGACTATACGAACAGTGATGATTTGATCTTTGTAATTTATTTTTTTAACTGAATAACTAAAAAACCCTACTAGTTCTTTAAAACTACTCAACTTTGGGTTACAGTCCAAGAGGTTTGTTGTTTTGGTTTGGTTTTTGATGGACAGTGAGCAGGCTTCACGAACAAATAAGACAGAAGTGTGGTCGTGTATGTTGGACACTAAAAGTAGATTCGTGCACTTGAACGTGAAATTCTTTGGACTATAATTTGGCAGAGATCCCAGTCTTGTAGTTATAGAGAGACTGGACAGGGAAAAAAAAACCCGTGAGCTGTAATGAAGGGAAAAGTGTACGATAGTAAATTGTTAATTAAGATGACATTTGATTGCCTCTCATAAAAATCCAATAACTTTCTATATTTGATTTGCCAGAAAGCTGAAAATGTGCCTACATGGTGTGCTCAGGTACTGTGTAGATCAAATAACATGCTGATTTTTGGGTTCAGAACCTTATTCCAACAGTGACGGCTCTCTGTGTGTGATTGCCTGCAGTTAAACTACTGTTTTCAGTGTGTCTGCAGTTCTTCTGGCTGATAATGCTTGTTCCAGAGCTTAAATTTAAGTAACAGAACTTGAAATATGTTGACTGTATGTAAAGAAAAGCTAAACTGTTCACTGCAAATTAAAGTCTAAGAGTGAAGAATTGTATCTCATTTCTGAGCACCTGGAGTGGAAACCCATTGCAAGGTCCAGAGAAGTTTTTTGGACAACTTTGGTGGGCCTCACGTTAATTCCTGCTTAATTGTAATCCAGCGATATTGTGAAAAGAAATCAATTGGCAGTGAACTGTCTGAAATGAGGTTGGAGTTCATATCTGGGCAGAACTTTGGTATTATTTGTGATGTGTTCAGTTAGTTCATGCAGTAACAAGTATAATGGGTGTCCTGTCCTTCCTAGTGTCAAATTTGGAAAAAAGTATTTACGCAAAAAAAGGAATAATTCATATAGCAGATTAGTTGTCAAATTTGGAAAAAAGTATTTACGCAAAAAGGAATAATTCATATAGCAGATTAGTAACATTGGTTTCTGTAATGTATGTGGGGTTTCCGAATGCAAGGTACTGGTTAGTGATTTTTGGCCTTGAGACATTAGGGTGGCAATGCATGGTATCTGTGAATGATGAACTTGTGTTGGATATGGGTTAAACTGATGGTTTATGTGACAAGAGTGAAAGTAACCAAAGCTTTTTGCTACTTTCCTTGATATTTCTTTTCTTTCAGTGAGTCCAAAAATAAGTGCCAGTATCTTGATACAAAAGTCGCAGCTTTAATTTTCTGAAAATCATTAATTTAGGACTTAGCTCTTAAAAGCTCTACTTGAGTCGAATTCTAGAAGCAGCAGTGGAAGTGGTTGAGAGCTGCTGAGGTGACGCAGTTGTGGTGGAACAAACCTGTCCCTTCAGCCCTACTTGTCGGTCAGGTTTTCTGGTTTTATTTTTAAACAGGGGCATGGTCCATGTGGAATTTCAAGGTTTTTAGGGTTTTTTTTGTAGTCCTGTGTTTTACCAAATCACATACTGATAATCATACCATATTTCAGTATCTTAGCCATGTATTTTAGATAAATTCAGAAGTATAAGAAGACAATGTCATTACCCAGTTAAAGAACTTAATTGCTTCAACTTCTGCTTTCAAAAAGTTTGAGTTTCTTCCTTGTTATTTCTGTTTAGTATTTTGGTGTGTGACATCTGTGCCACATGAAGGCAGTGATGCTGAGCAGTTAACATATAAATAAATTGGCAATTATCACTAGCAAAATCCATAATTGGCTTCATCCATTTTGTCAGGTGCTTCCAGTTTTTGATTAATGCTTTGCATGTTGAAACAGCATGTCCTTTATCCTTCTGTATTTGCTTTAAGTTTCAGTTGTTAAGCAGCATTGAATTGTTTGTTACTTAAGGAGAACTTAAACTAAATAACGTCTAAACTTTTTTTTTGTGGGGACTGCGGACATGGTATCTTGGTTTTACTGGTTTTTGGAAGGAGGTGGAGTAGGCAACTGCCAGCAGGTGTTGCACTCATTTCAGAGCGTGTAATTTGCTTCTGTCCAGATGCATATCGTACTTCTCTGCCTCTGAAAGTTAGTTTTGAAATTGAGCTACAAATATTTTAATATACAGATCTGCAGTTTCTAAAGTCCTTCTTTAAAGTTTGAGAACTCTATTTGCTAGATCACAGAATCGCAGAACGTTAGGGATTGGAAGGGACCTCAAAAGCTCATCCAGTCCAATCCCCCTGCCAGAGCAGGAACACCCAGATGAGGTTACACAGGAAGGCGTCCAGGCGGGTTTTGAATGTCTCCAGAGAAGGAGACTCCACAACCTCTCTGGGCAGCCTGGACCAGTGCTCTGTCACCCTCACTGAGAAGAAGTTTCTTCTCAAATTGAAGTGGAACCTCCTGTGTTCCAGTTTGTGTCCGTTACCCCTTGTCCTATCAGTGTTTGTCACCGAGAAGAGCCTGGCTCCATCCTCGTGACACTCACCCTTTAAATATTTATAAACATGAATGAGGTCTCCCCTCAGTCTCCTCTTCTGCAAACTAAAGAGCCCCAGCTCCCTCAGCCGCTCCTCATAAGGGAGATGTTCCACTCCCTTGACCATCTTTGTAGCCCTACGCTGGACTCTCTCCAGCAGTTCCTGTCCTTGAACTGAGGGGCCCAGAACTGGACACAATATTCCAGATGCGGTCTCACCAGGGCAGAGTAAAGGGGGAGGAGAACCTCTCTTGACCTAGATATTTTAATAAGTTCTGTTGCAAGCAGATTTTTAGAGGAATCTGATTTTTTAGGTAGTTATTTCTGTGCACAAGAATTCTGTGCTACGTATTCTCCATTCTGTCTGGTCTTGCACTTCTCCCTCTTGCCCCCCAGAAGACTTGAAATCGCTTTTGCATCTTTTCTCCTTGACTGCAAATTAGTTTTCAGCAGTAGATTTTAGGATTTTAGGTTTCTGAAAAGCATCTGCAACATATATTTTGTGCATAATGGAAGAGCTTTACGTTAGTATCATCTTATATGGATGGTATCTGTAGCTTTTAAAGAAGGAATTTTAAATTAATTCCAATTAAATACTATGGAATGACATGAACAAAGGGATTTACATGATACATAAGGGAGATGCTAAATATAACTACTAAGCAGTAGTATTTGTTTGAAACTACAGTTTTAAATTAGCAACGAGAGCACCAGTTTTCATTTGTGTGCTCTGAAATGTAAATTGGTCAAATTATGAGCTCGGCTTATTTGAAATTCTTAGGTCTTAATGTTGTTTTTGTTTCTTTATCTTTTCTTTCTTCCCCTCTCCAGCTAAATGGCCTTAAAATGGCAGATGAGCCCATGGAAGAAGGTGAACCATATTCCTACCACGTAAGTATGTTTGATAGATGTTCAGTTCAGACACTCAGTAACGTGACTTCCTTCTGAAGCCAAATTTTTGCATTCCATGCTCTTTAATAACTTTTGAACCTATCATTTTATTTGGCCGGATCTGAAGAGGCTCCAAGTCTCAAAAGATAATTTGGAAAATTGGTACCTGGGTAGGGGCCATAAGTGCCTTGTTTGGGAAAGTTTGCTGCATGAGGCAGCACTTTATGGAGAAGAGATCCTGTGTAAAGGAGAGAGCATTTACACAGCCCTCAACCTCAGAAGATACTCAGTCCAACCTTGAACCTTTTACACAAAGTGCTTAATGTGGCTTTAATACATTGACATCTGTTCTTCCTTTGTATTTTTTAATGTAGTTGCTGCACGTTCATCTAGAAGGTACTTAATAGCTGCTATTTTAGAACAGAATTCATTTTTACACCAGTATGTTAATTTGACTTTAGAAATATTGCAGGTAAACCCTGTTGAGCATGATGTTTGTCCAATGCCTTGGTGATACACATATTTAGGAGATGGTGAAGATCAGTGTTCTGCATGCTTGGACTAAACTTTAGGCTAATTCTCTGTGTTGAAATGCCTGACTTTGCTTGGAAGAATTGACCATCAGTTTTCGTGCATCCATGTATTTCAATCATCCATGTATTTTTGAACAGGATCGTGGGAGAAGTTATGAAGTAGACCTTGTTGCCAGCTGTAACCACTGCTCTCTGTTGCAATAACTTTTAAAGTATGTGATTTGGAGAATAAACTCTTAGGGGTAGAGAAGTGGTGCTCGTACATTTCCTGGTGTGGAGTGTCGTGGTTATCTCACACACAGCAAGGAAAGATGAGCAGTGGGTTGTAGCAGTGTTTCACTGTACTTGAAGCAGAAAGGTGTTGCTGAGCTCGTTTGTTGGGCGCTGGGAGCTGTGTACCAGTCAAGCTGTAATGAAGTGAGGTGGCATGAAGCCATAACCAATTGCAGTGTTTCTGTCAGTGCTTTGTCTTCTGTTGAACCTGCTGGGAATAGTTACCTCTTGTGCAAGGTACCTCGGCAGGAGCTGCTACCTGAGCCCAGGAATAGATTTACTGCTCGAGCAGCAGAGTGCAGAATCAGATAACGAAATTTGCAGTTCATGGAGGCTAAACTAGAAATGAAAACGAACCTGGCTTATATATCTGTTCAACTCTACCTGCTCATTTCTTGTTGATGATGCGGAGGACTTTTTATACTTCAGTCATGCCAATTTTTAGTACTTTAATGATAGTTAAGTAGGTGAAATTAAATAGACATTTTTTGTGAAGGTAAAACACTTGAGGAAAAAAAATAACTCATTTGATACATCTCAAGTAATTCTTTATTTGCATGGAAAACAGGTTTCTTTTCAGTTCATATTTAGAAAGACTCTTGTCAGTCTCCGCAGCAACCACATGTGATGTTGCAGGCTAATGACTCAAGGTGGGTGATAAACAGAAGAACAGGTGAACTCTTCTCTTCTCCTCCAAAGGTTCACAGTGTTAATGAATACAAATTCGGATTCGAATGGTGAAGGAAAAAGGCTTCTAAATAGTTTTTTTACATATTTCATAGAAAGAACCAGCCATTAGGTCTGTTGTACAGCTTGGTGTATAGCTAGATGAGTTGCTGCTTTCATCTGTTGTCAGATGACTTGAAATGCAGGCATGTGTTTAAAAAAATAAATAAAAATTAAGATATGTGCATCTTTCCTATGAATACATACATTCATACTCAACAAGATGTATGGGTGAAAGGAAGTTGGGATGCATATACTGTATCATCAGTGCATGTCAGCTGGTCTTATGTGAACAAAGAGGGAAACGAAGTAGCTTAGAGTGTGAATTATAGAATTAACTTTGTTATCCAGCAGCCTTAACACCGACCTTTGCATGGAAAGCAGGTAGAATAAACAGGCCTTCCCAGAAAAAAGTATGAAATGAGAGATGCAGGGCATGGGAAAAGATTTTTGTGCCATAACAACTGGACTGCGGTGAATATACTAAGTTGTTAGTTTGGATCCTTTTTTCCCAAACAAGGGAATTCATGCATAGACAGTTAATGAAGTGTAGGGATTGGCTCACTTTTAAAAATTTTTATTATTCGGTAAGCACATACACATTTAGATTTCTACCCTGAGTTTCTGTGTAACCTCACCTAGACTATTTATTCTAGATACTTCTTTATCAAGTCTGATAATGCTGCCTATACGTTTTAATGCATGGTCTTGGGCAGCAAGACTTTCTATGGTCAACTTGGCTATAGAATGATGTTCTTTCCTAAAACCAACTGTTTAGTCAAGGGATCAGGTCTCTTTCTGGTGGTGTTTGTACCTGTCATTGAGGGAGAGCAGTGTGCTGTAGGTGGGCAGGGTGTTCTTCTGGTCTCTATTAAGAGTAGCCTTCAACAAGAAGAACTAAAGAAAGGATAAGAGGACAGTTAATAACGATTTGAGTACCCTAAAAGCAAAGTACTGCAAATTGGATGGGATTTTCTGTTGCAATTGGGTTGTAATTGCTGTGTGCAGGAAGTTCACTGGTGTTCTTGATAGGGCCGATGGCTCTCGCTCCTTTCCTCCATGCAAGCTGAGGTTGCTGCTGCAGGCCTTAGCATCTTGTTTTTAGTTTCAAAGGTATTTATTTTGACATCTCACTTGTTTTGGCTCACAGAAACTTGTCTTACACCATAAAAGTTGCAATACCTCATGTGATTTGTTTTCATTGTGAATGTTTGTCTTTTCACAATTGTAGCTGCTGTGCCCTGCTCTACTAAAGATGAGAGCAACAGGAAAAAGTCAGGAGAACCCTAAATTTTTTACCTACCTCAGAATTACCCTTGGCTTTCTGAAGGAAGTCTCCTCACAGGGTGGTCTTTCCATGAGCTCTGCACCCCAGAGCTGGGTTTTTCTGTTGGCTGTAAAAATTTGCAGAGGTCTTGGGATGACTCATACCTTATTTATGCTCTTCAGACGATGCTTGTTCCTTTATCCACAACTGGTTGACCATATTTGTTGTTTGCTACTGTGAAAAGCAATAATTACCTGAAGTGATGAAATTCACTTTAGTTTTCATTAAGACTATTTCAAAAAAGGGAAAGATGAGAAGAGTAATCACTGGGACTACTAAAGGCTACTAAAGCAGAGGTGAAGCACAGAAGAATCATCTTAGACTTGGTTTAAAAATCTGTCTGTTTATTCCTTTCATGTAAGAAAATCTGGCTCTGCTGTAGTTGTAATATTTACAACAAAAGGAAATGAGCATTCTTTGAGAATTTTACTTCAGTTTAGAAATTTTAGATGCATTTATTTAAGAAAGGATGGATGGGAAAACTCTTAATTTGATCAGCTTTCTATTAATGCCTTATTAGAATTCCAAATATTTTATTAAAAAAAACTCCACAGCAAGAAAAGAGCAGGCATTTACATGCACTTCTAATGAGAGTTTCTTAATTCAGGCCTGTTCATTGTATTTTTGTTTGCCTTGAAATAATAGGATGAAGGAAGTGTGAAAGAAATTCCTATTACACACCATGTGAAAGAAGGCTGTGAGAAAGCAGATCCAGCACAGTTTGAACTCCTTAAGGTTCTTGGACAGGGATCATTTGGAAAGGTAAGATAAGAAACTTTGTTTTCATCTGATGTCCACTTTGAACCTGCTTTGTCTTATTAATGTTTTACTTCCCTTGCTTTTATAATACAACAAGGTTAAATATAAACCTAACAAATCTGAGTACAGGTACATGCTCATGGAAATATCCCTGTTCTGGAGGAAGCTATCTGTTACTGTTTTGCAGTTTTCCGATGTGGGTTTTTTGGGGTTTGTTTTTACTCCAATAGCCTTTCTGACTTTGGTTTTTTAGAGGAAAAGCGATGTCTTTCTCCATAGACCTATCCAGGCAGTCAACCTGGGAAGGGATAACTCAAGTATATTTTTTTTGCATTAAAAAAAAAAGGCAGTGCCGTAGCAGAGTTGCTGGGAATGTCTGAGGAGTTAATGACAAATTTTGTCTTTTTGCAATCTTGTTCTGGACACCAAATCGTATCAAATGGAAAGGCAACAGCCTCAGTCTCTGGGCAGAAGAGTGAGTCAGTAGCAGATTTGAGGAGGTTTGCCCTGGAAAGTTACACTTTGCTTTAAGTGAACAGAGAGACATGTTTGTGGTTCATCTGGACTTGCATCTGCAACTTCATGGGAACAAAGGCACCGACAGCAACGAATTTCACTAGCTGGGTTATGAAGTTAGGGGTGGGTTTTGTGCACCAGCTCTGGTGTTAAGCTCTGTTTGTCCAATGCCATGGCTGTTTGAAGTAGTGTTTTCCAACAGCCTCAAGACTTTATTGCAGCATCCAGTGAGGAACCAGAATCAACAGTATCTGTGTTCCCTATAGGTTGCCTCAGTAGACATTTACGGAAGAGATGGTGATGTGTCTTATAGTAATGGCACTTGACATGCTGTGAATGTTTGACTTCTTTCAGTGCATGAAATCTGCATTGATGTAGATACAGAAGAATGATTGTCATAGTTTGGAACTTGAACCAAAGTAACAATCAAGTAAATAATCTGGAAAATACATTTTAGTTTTTATATTCTGCTGTATTTGTCAAGTGATCTACAGCCAAAAGACACTAAGTGAAAAATGATTCAAATAGGTTATAGAAGAAACAGAGCAAATTTTTTTGTTAAAATTTCTTTTTGTAAAGTGCCACTTGGTGTCACGCTGCAGAAATTAAATTAAAAATCAAATGTCTCAGTCACTAGTTTGAAACACATTAATTGAAATGTTAATTCTAGTGTATAGGAAGCTAATTTATTTTTTAAAACCAGGCTGTTAAACTAGGTCTTTTGCAACTCATAAAAAATGAGCAATCAGCTTTACGTATGTTTCCATTTTCCCATTCTTCCGCTGGTTTTGTCCATCTCATGGCAGGGACGAATGTCTGCATATTGTATGAGAGGGCAAAAAAAAGATAAGGTGTTAGGAAGGTGTTCTGTGAATAAGTGATAGTTCAGAAAAGACTTCTAAAATATTTGTGTTTTATAGCTTCAGAAACTCGTCTTTATCTGGTGGTGTTGGCTGTCAGTTGCGTCCCATGCTTCTCGTCTTTAGAGACTGAAAAGCTCTATGCATTTATTACTCCTAACTTGAGATGCCTTATACTACCTTAGGGTTCAGAACATCTGGTATAGTCATCTTAGCCCTGACTCAGACAGACTCTTACTTCGCAGAGTCCAGACTTGTGATAGCGTAAGGAACGCTCTGGGTTGGTGAGATGTCTGTTCTGGAGCTTTTGAAACCTGGCAGTGCTTGGTTCAGAAACCAGCTTTAAGAGTTGGCCAGTAGCTGTTGCACATCTGAACAGAGCTCTTTTTATCTTGTATTTGTTGCTTTCCATCAAAAAGAAAAACAGTGAAGATCAATGTCTGCTGCCTTTGTAGTGATTGTTTTCTCTCTGCAGTTCATACTTCCCAGAGACCTCCCTTTGGGTTTGTTTGCTCTACCCCAGCATAGTGCTACAGCCCATACTCTACCTGTCTCCTTCATCGTCTGTGCACAATTTAACACTGCTTTGCAGAAATAAAGGGTTAAACCTACTGGATTTCTCCAACCTTGGATAATGTTCTGAAGCTTCAGCACCTGGTTTGCTGAAAATGGTCTTTGATTTGCTTTGGGCCATATTTTGATAGCACTCCACGATTGAACAACCGACCATTGGGCCTCTGCAAAATGTGGGATTATGAAGGCTTTGTCTGCAAATTCAATAGATGGTGCTTGAGTAGTTTTCAGTGTCTATTTTGGTCCTTGTTAGCTACAATTTGTAACTTATACAGGAATTTCTTACATTCTCATAAGCTGCTAGCTATTAAGCACTGAAAAATTTGTACTTGTTTATTAATGTTTTGCTTTATAATTGTGAGTGTATTAATCTACAGGTGTTTTCTTGTTTGCTGGAGTTTGAATTACTCCCTTTACTATTTGAGCATCAACATCATATAATAGGAGAACAGTGCTCTAGGTCAATCACTGGACAAAACTTGAACAAAACAAAAAGCCCAATAACCTTGAAACATGGTGATATTTTTCTTCTAACAAGAGCTTAAAATAAAAACAACCCCTCTCCCAACCCTGTGCAACTTAGTGACAGCGTATGAATTTCTGATTCTAGAATGGAATTGTTAACGCTGACAAGTTATTGTTTGGGTTTTTTTAATAATTTCTAAATATTTAGTAATTTCTCACTAATTATATATGTAAATAAATCAGATGAAAGTCTGAATAAGGTAATATCAGAGAGGCAATATCGGGTAGCTTTTGGCATTCTTTTGTGACTCGTACTTTTTATTTTTTACAGTGCAAACGTTCCTCATAACTAATAATCACTGTTACAAGAACAACTTGGAAACAGGAGAACATACCAAACAATTTTGTAATTTGAAAGACCTAGTAGTTAGAATATTAGTAGAGATACATGTATTTGTACTGCATTACTCTGTCTAATATTATGCTTTTCTTAGTGTCAAGTTATATACCATCTATCTTTAAAATGTCTCTGGGGAGAAAAAAAAAAAGGTAGAAAAACCTGTTGGAGTTGCTATTCCAGAGGGCAAGGGTGCTTTGATCTTAAATGGCGAGAATTCAGTCATAGAGCCTGGTACGTACTGGAGACTTGGCTCTTAAACTTCAGAAATTTCTTAGGAGGTGGCAGAATTGTCATTCTTCAAGGAAGTAATATAAAGAAACAGATTTATGTAAGTATTTACAAGTACTTATTTAAACAGCTTGCTATGGGAAAGAATGTATAGTTCGTGACCAATCTGAACATTTCGGAGCTTGGTGGTGCGTGTACTTCTATTCTGATTAAGGGAATGCAGTTTTGCCCTTCTGTTAAAAGTGTGCGCTAAAGAAAGAACACTGAAAGATGCCTGAAATTAATAGGAGGCTTGAAAATGCTTTGTGATAGTTGAGTATTTGATTACCGAGCTTGCTTATGCAAAAGGCTTTCTATGGCTATTTGGCATCTTTTTGTTCCTCAGTTTTTCAGGAATGGGATGGGACTAGTGACATGCTATCTCCTTGTCTGTATTAAGGAAGTTAAATGTAAAGATACAGTAATGCTTTTTTTAGTCAGGTTGATTTATTGCTTACATAAAGTATTTTTAGCAGTACTGTGAAAAATGGGATTTATATTACCAGGTCTTCCTTGTACGGAAAATAATTGGTCCTGATGCTGGGCAACTTTATGCAATGAAAGTATTGAAGAAAGCTTCTTTAAAAGGTACGTGTGTCTTTTCAATTAGAACCTTAGAAAATGGTTTTCAGTGCACCTGTATATCTTAAGTGAGATAAAAATACTTCTTTTTAAAAGCTTTTTTAAAAATCTTAAATGTATTTCCATGAGTTCGTAGTTCTTCTCTGATAGCAGCTTTTTTCTAGAGTAATTTGTAAGTTCATGTTTAAGAATTATTTTAAATCTGGCCAGAAAGCCTTAATTATAGGATTCCTTCAAAGTTTAAAATTGCATTGTTTAATTCTGTTTAGTCTTTTCATTATATTAAAGCAAATTAATTTCATAAACCATTTTTCTTTTGTCTTTTGTGAAGTTAGAACTCGACTGTGGTTAAAATTAAGTTGCTCCCTCCTGTTATGGGTGCCTTAGCAAGCAGCTTACTTTAATGGATGCAACTCCCTTGTGTGTAAAGAAAGACTGTTACTAGTTGAAGGGAAAAAAGTAATCTTAAGTGACAGAAAATACGTATTCAGTATAGATAGTTAATTCAGAGTTTGAAGTTAGCTGCTTGGAAATGTAGGTGTGAGCTTTTTTTTCTCAAAAGTAATATGGTTTATCACAAAACATTGGGATATGTTGGGAAAAGATGAAGACAGTAAGGATGAAGATGGGGCAGGTAAGCAACAAAATAGAGTTTTGCTGTTTGAAAGCATGTGCTTTGTGGGAGACTTAAAAGCTCAATAAGTTAACAAGGAAAAGTATTTTAGGCAGCAAAGACTTTCCATCTGCTAATTTCTGCTCAGTCTGTGTTATACCAAATACATTTGTCTCATGCGACTGTTTTTTTTCTTCTCCCCCTCAGTTCGGGATAGAGTTCGTACAAAAATGGAGAGAGACATATTAGTAGAAGTAAATCATCCATTTATCGTCAAACTGCACTATGGTTGGTATTTTTTTTGGCCCATTTTTCATTACTTGAAGGTATAGCTGATCTTGTTCTTTCTCTGTTTTGTAGTGTCCAAATTAGGTTCTAGCAACTTTAACTTGAAGTAACCTAAAGCTTTTACATACACATGGATTTACATTCCTTTTTTTAAGCCCTGTGATTCAAGGACTTGGAAAAATCTTACAAGTTCTGCAGAGGTGTTTGTTTTTTTAATGTTCATTGAGTAAAACCAAACCACAGTAATTCACATACTTGGTGTTTCCCCGTTTGACAAATGACAAATAAAAGAACAATTATGATCTCTTATGACTAAGATTGCCCTCTGTGAAGAAGCAAGTAATCATTCAATAAAATACCTCATGTGCTGCTGAATTATTTCGGTTCCGTAACAAAAGTGTTGCCTTTCTCTGAAATGTCCAAGTTGTAGCAGCGTTCAGATCTATTTTGTAGATAATCTTTGTCATGCAACTGTTGATTCTTTTTTTAATTATTCTTTTTTTTTAAGCCTTTCAGACTGAAGGGAAGCTATATTTAATATTGGATTTTCTCAGGGGAGGAGATGTGTTCACACGATTATCCAAAGAGGTAAGTACCTAAAATTTTATCTCCACTCACTTTAGACAAGAGGGGTTTTGTTTCCTCTGTAGTTATTTCCTCCTTGTTTTGTGTCAGTTAAGTTTTTTAATAACTTAGTTGAGCTTCCCTTCCATATTCTAGAATAGATGTTATAACCTTAAGAAACAAGACTGTGTATTGATTAGTAGCCTAAGTTTTAATTTGGTAACTGCAAAGCACTGTTCTTTTGTCTAAAAATGTGTTGTTGCTTGGAAACCTAACTGAAGTAAATGAAGACTTAGCAGTAGAGAAAGGGGATGTCTAGTACTCATAGGGAGCTTAGGTGCTCCTGGAAGCCTGCATTGGTAGGAGATTTCTGCTGCATTATAAAATTTCATAATGCTGTAACACAAATCCTAATGCTTAAACTTACAAAGCACAAACATTGAGTATTTTTGAGACCATTCCCCTTCATCTAACATTGGCATGCAACTGAAACCTGAATTTTTATTTTTTTTTTTCAGAGAGGGCTTCAGAGGAGGAAATATGGTGCAGCCTGTTAGGTTTTTTTTAACACTTACCATCAAATATTTATTGTGTGTTACTTGGGTAACATAAGTTCATGTAAGAGAACATGTTCGCATTAGGTACATGAACTTACGTTACATAAGTCTTATGAACACGATTATAAACTTTTCTTTCTGCAGACCTTTCATTAAGATCTATATTTTTAATGGCAGTTTCTCAACAATTTCACAGTAAAAGAGCTTTTCAGTGTTTTCACCAGTGCAAATACATTTATATTGCTAACCCATAGGAAAAGTCACTTTCTTAATGCAAAAAGTGAATATCTGACTGATTTTTTCATGACATGGAGGTGGTCATATCCCCAGTATGTACGGCCATGAGCTAGGCTTTTCCCCTCATATACTATTTGTAAAAATAAAGCTTTACTTTAGGAACAGGCCAAAATGAAGGAAGAATTTAAAGGGTGTTTTGTTTTCCTTCTTTATAAAAAGCTGACCTTGGTAAAAGAGTGATCATGTGTGGGAACTGAGCTCAAAATTAATTAACCTTGAGGCTAATATGGAAATTAAAAGCTTAAACAAACTGACCAACTTGTACAGGGTTATTGGAACAGTAGGTAGGAAAGAAGTCAGTCTCTGCTTTGGTATAGGGTGTCTAATTATAGAGGAAATTCTGGTATAGCAGGAAGAACTGTTCTGTTGCACTCGCACAGCTGGAATTACTGAGTGTGCAATATTCTTAAATAAGGGGTGCAAGTCTGTCCATAATAATACGAGCTAGGTGGTTGAAAGAGGTATGTATTCCCTTTGGGAATAAGTAATAATTGTCAAGTTTTCTTACTGTTAAGTCTCTGTGGTTTTTTGGAAGACTTCAGTTACTGTCCACGATGGCTTTTAAGCATATGTGTATATAGATAAGAAAAAATAAATTGTTTTTTTATTATTTTCTGGTGGGAAGGCAAAGGTTTTTTCCAAAAGTATGTGATAAAACAAGGACAGTGGACAATACACATGAGGGTAAATTCCCCATGGCATTTCATGCTTTCCACACAAGAGTTATTTTAAATCAATTTGGTTTAGTATGGGGTTATTAAAACTCTTTTGTTAGTCTTTAAATACTAATGTGGGCATGAGTGTTTCAGCTGTGGAAGTGAAATGAGTATGTAGTGAAGTTTTCATCGGTAACATTTAATGAAATTGATTTGCATCGTGTTTAATTTGACACAGAAAGCAGTTTTAAATGAAATTATTACTGAGAGATTGTACATTACTATTTGGCATCATTGTATTGAGATTTGCATTTTGACTGTATCCAAAAGAACAAGAAAAAACCTCGGATATAGATGAAAGCAGTATCAGCATTACTCTTTAAAAACCATCAAAGTGAAACACTGCAGTTTTTCACGTCATTACTTTCACCAAAATGTTGTATTTTGCATATGTTTTTCTAAATATTGTTAATATGAATCCACAGAGTCACCCAAAACAGCAGTTGTATACTAAATTTTATGATGCAGTGGAAAACAGTCTGTATAGGATTGTGGCAGAAAGAGGAGGAGGAGTACTAGTAGTAGCAATAATAATAGTAGTAGTAGTAATAATAATAGTAGTAGTAGTAATAATAATAGTAATAATGATGATGATGATGATGATAGTGGCTAAATAGCTATAACTTACTACCTTAAAAGTCAGCTAATGCTCTGCAGTAACTGCTGATGTATTTGTTTAAGTATTGCAGGTAGTTCTTTTATATACCTGATGATTAGCCTATGTTAGTACATCATTTCTGTTAGGTGAATTTATGAACTACGAGTTCATAAGGTACTTCTAAAGCTTATTTTGCAATTTAGGCAGACAGGACTATTTTTGTTAGATTACAGTTTTAAAAATTGAAGACAAGATCAGAAGGTAAATCTATACAGTTCTTATTAGGTTATGTTTACAGAGGAAGATGTGAAATTCTACCTCGCAGAACTGGCCCTTGCTTTGGATCACCTTCACAGCTTGGGAATTGTGTACAGGGACCTGAAGCCAGAAAAGTAAAGTAAAATGTATTTTACCGCTATTACGTGTATTTTGTTTGTCGCTTTACATTTTCCACTACAGTTATGTAAAAAATTAAAAATATTTTCATTAGACGATGTAAACAAATATAAAATGTAAAAAATACGTCTGTGACTTAAATGAAATAATATTGGCTTGTTAAATTAATAACGGGAGTTGGAGATGTTAAAATGTTAACTATTATATTTTCAATGTTAACTTGTATTTTTAAATTTTATATGTAAACATTCTTGGTGAATGTGAATTTTAATTTTCAGCATTTTGCTTGATGAAGCAGGACATATCAAGTTAACAGGTAGGTAACACTTATTAGTGCAGCACTTTCTGAAGATATTTCTATATAAGCTTTTAGTTAAAAGCCCGAGATGTATCGTGATGGCTGGGATATGTGTGAGCTAGTACTTAGCTGTTTAGAAAATTTCTTATTGGACGAGCTTTTTATAATAAATCTGTATCCCTTTCCTGTGTAGTGTATTTTGTTACAGTCTGTGACTATCTATGAATACTTTATCTGATGGATTTGGTCATTTACCAGATCCTTATGTCCATGCAGGTTCCATGTGGCTTTTTTTAAGGAACTTTTAGGATTGAACTGGATTTAAATGTATTAAAATTCTCACTTCTTCCTGAAAGTGGATAGAATAATTGATGGGATTATTGATTAGCAATGATCTCCCCTTAGAAAAAGGGGTGCTTGAGAGCCTTGAGAGTTGGACAAATACCAAGGACTTGCGTATTCAATGGCTTTTTTTGAACAAGGTAAAAAAAGTGTTCTGGGAATAAAGGGAGCAGATATGCAAGACTCTACAGCACTTGAGTCAGGTTGCAGAACCATGTTGTCTTATGTAACAGCATTATTTTTAGTCTGATTTTATTTATTCATCATCCAGTAATACTAGACCATGCAGGCTGCGTTCTCTTTGAAACTTATTTTTAATATAGCAGGCTGTAAACAGAGAAAATTAGAACTTTGGATTATAGTAAGGCTCTAAACATGTAATATTTCAAATACTGAGTTATTATTTTGAGTGGTAATATTGATGGCTCTTCATCAGTTTAACATGACTTAACAGAATGGCTTTGGTGATGTTATATTGTAAACTAAATGTCTGAGGTATCCCTAGATGTCTGCAGCTGATTGTTTTGTGAAGAGCTAGGATAATCACATCATATTCGTGAAAGCAAACAAACAATACCTGTCAACACTTTGATTTTTGAAATACCATATACAGCACTGTGGGGGGTTTTTTGAGTTTTTTTTGTTTTCCTGAAGTTCTTTACTGGCTGTATTCTTGTAATGCTGTTGTTGTAGACTTTGGACTCAGCAAAGAATCGGTAGATCAAGAGAAGAAGGCCTATTCTTTCTGTGGTACTGTAGAGTACATGGCACCTGAAGTTGTAAACAGGCGAGGGCACAACCAGAGTGCTGACTGGTGGTCCTTTGGTGTTCTCATGGTACTGTATGCTTCTCTGCTTACCTTGCGTAAGGTCACAAATACTCTGCATAAGTGAATGTGAAATAAATGCGTTTAAAATGAGCTTCTCCAGATCTAGTTATGAATGCTTGGGTAAGGGGAAGAGAGAATTCAATCTCTCTGATTGAATCAAATCTGATCTGAAATAGCAGCTGATTTGACTAGAATTTACTTTTCATGTGCTTAGCTCTGCAAGGAATACTTACCAGAAACCATAAAAATAATTTGTGTAGTCCATTAGTAGTTTAGTTAGGTTGCAGTCAGTGTGAAACTTCACGTTGTATATTTATTTCATGTGTTACTTATTAGTTAAATTAAAAAAAAACACTGAAGACTTGATTTGATAGAATATTGTGTTTTGGTAAGGATAAGCCTGTTGAATGAACATGGAGTAGTGAAATCGGCTGCTAGCACTTACACCTTTGCTGTGATGTGTCAGAGCATCAGGCTGAAATACATGTATGTTTGCATTAAAAGTAAAGTCGTGTTTCAGAAATTATTCTTCTTGCTGTTTTCAGAGTACGGCAACATACAAAACTTGGTTATGGAGGAGATTTTATTACTTTTTAATTAAAATAACTTATGGGTGTAAAGTATTCCTACATCATCATTACATTACACTTGCCACTTACTATCATGTAAACTGCCAATGAGAACAAAATTTTAGATTTGTGAGCTTTTTTTGTCTTTTAAAAGCTTAATGCAGTATGTCTACGGTAGCACTAGGGAAGAATATAGTACTTAACGCTTTGTTTTAGTAACTGGGGGGAAAAAGTGTTGATTTAGATTAACATTTGTTCTTTTCAGTTTGAAATGCTTACTGGTACACTACCATTTCAAGGTAAAGATCGAAATGAAACTATGAATATGATACTGAAGTAAGTATATCTTCTTACTTTTTGGACACTCAGAAAATGTAGTTTTTAAACATGTTTTAACAGCTTGTTATAAATCCTTGTGCTTGAAGAGCATTACGCCAGAACAGGAACAAAAAAGCCAAGCCCCCTCCAACAAGGTTTAACTCACAGACCATGCAAAGACTGTTAATATCTGCAGGATTTAAAATCTTAGGGATGAATTTGTATTTTCATTGTAGATGTGTGATTAATACAAAAACAATACAGAGAATTAGAACAGCATTATTTATCACTCCTGGTTATGCTCCCTGGCCACTGTTACAGCATACGTGAGTTAGTAAGCAGCAGTTAATCAGGTGTTGGTGTGTGTATATATGGAGAGTTCACTTAAGTGCTCACATTTCTTGTGTTAAATTGCCTCAGTTACAACAGAAGCTGTCCAACAAGATAAACTGGGTAAACTGGTGATTAGTAAGTGAAGTGGGGCAAATATGTTCTCAACAAAGAATTTCCTTTAGTCAGCGTGCAGAGCCTTGGGCATTTTGAGGGGGTGATAAGGAAGGAGGTGAGCAAGCAGCTCTGTTCTCCCCAAAATTTGGCAGTTTGAGCTTACCCTGGGTATGGATTTGCCAGGAGATTACCTGTGCAAGTGGATGGATCAGATCCCTACCTTCACTTGGCACTCTAAGTGGTACTGCAGTCCTGCAGGAGAATTTCTTGCCTCTAGCATAGTTGTTTTCATAAAATAAGCTTGGTGAAGTCAGGAAGCTTTTATATAATAGCTTAATGAGCTGCTTCTTGAGGCTTTTAATATTAGCAATCACTTCAGGGGCAAGTAATTTGGGATTTGGTGGGTCTCTTCTGGCATGGATTCTGATAGAGGCATTTTGGTGATAACTTACTGGTGGCATGAAATTATCTTTATGTATTCCTCAGAATTGTTTTACTCTGTTTTAGCCTAAAGCTTGTTTCGGGGACTTGGGTGGGGTTTGGGGGTTTTGTCTGGTGTGGTGGGACTTTTTTTGTTTGGTTTTGAAAGCCACTTGTGAAAACTTGTGAAACTGAAAAGCTGATGAGGTAAACGTGCACACTCTGCAAGTCTTTGTAATGTGTCCTTGATAAATCAGATTGTGCAGTGGAGTCTACGTAGACGATTTCTAGTAAGGTACATTTCTTCTTCTTACTTGTTCTCTGTTTTCCTTTAGAGCAAAGCTTGGGATGCCTCAGTTCCTCAGCCCTGAAGCACAAAGTCTTCTGAGAATGTTGTTTAAAAGGAACCCATCAAATAGATTAGGTTGGACCATTTATTTGAATCTTTGAAATAAAAATAGTTTATTTGAGATGACTTTTTTTAAATAAAGTAGTTGCTAGAGGCTCTTAAGCTCTGCATGATCAGTAAGATTTGGGTTTAGATACCATTTCTTATTAGCTTGGATCACCATTTCCTAGATCTAGCTAATTAATGATTACTTGTACCAGTGACTCTTAGCAGTAGGCCAAAGCTTTGACAGTGTCAGAGCAAAGCATATTGACTCTGTATTTCTAAGCTTCTTGTACTCTGCCTCCCTGATGAGGTGGTCACTACTTAATAGAGTATTTTACATCCTTGAAATATTTTTGTATTTACAGTTCCCTCAAGTAACCATGTCTATGCAAATTTTTTAGAAATGAACTAATTTTTAGTGCCATTTTCTTCAAAGACTGTACACAAAAGTGTTTTAAATACGATATTTTCTTTGTTCAGGAGCTGGTTCAGATGGAGTTGAAGAAATCAAGAGACATCCTTTTTTTTCTACTGTTGACTGGAATGTAAGTAGAAAATGATCTGAATAATGAAGCTGTTTCTAATTTCTGTGTGTTGTAGCATTATAAGTATTTGCATCTGAATAGGGTACAACAAAC